AGTAGAAAAGGCACTGGAGAACAGATGACCAGGCTGACCAAATCCGACTTGCAGGAATTCCTGGTTACATCTCTAACTTGCACTTTTCTCTTTTGGGTGGTAGCATGAGATTGTCACAGCAGTAGTTACTGAAGTTATCTCAGTACGTACATATGAGGGAACTTCAAAAAGTTTGTAGAAAAACAGAATTAATGTACAAGATTATTGTGCAACAAAAAAATTGAAATCGCTATTTTTTTGAATAATACCCATTTTCCATGAACTTTCTGGAAGACCTCTCATATAAACATTCTATATTCTCAGCTGGATCTTCTTTATTATTTATGTTAAAGTGCTGGTTTGAGTGGCCATATTATCATTATTTCATCAGAAGTATTTTGCATTTTAATGCAAATTTCTGAGTAATGGATTCATTTCTGTGAATCTGTTTTTTTGTGGGCAAAGCAGCACAATACTAACAACAAAGTGTAAATTTTTTTTTTTTTTTTGCAGAAGATGAAAATCCAGTTGTCCTTTATTAAGAAATTTATGGGAAAAATTATAATGATATAAAAGCGCTAGAATGACAATGGTCCTAGCTAGCTTGTTCATGCTTTTGTTTTTTACATATTAACCTAGTGCAGCATTACTGTTTCCCGTAGTGAGAATGTAGGTCAGTTCCAGACATTATGACATCTCCCCCTAGGTGTCTGGTTCAGTACTGCATCCCAGGACTTCGCTCCTAGACCCTTTTGGCCCTAGCCAAGTGAGTGTCCTTGGACCTCTTTCCAGCTTTGGGAGGTTTCAATAAGGGTTAAGCTCCAGGGCCACATCTGGCACTGCTTCGGAGGTATCTCCTCCAGTGCATCATCCATAATATCAAGGGACGATTATTTAAAACTTTATTCTTGGGCCAGTAGATGGCGTGCTGGTGAAGGCACTGATCTCCCATGTGATTGACCCATTCAAGTCCCAGACCCAATGGCTTAAAAAATCATGCTGGGTGTGTGTGCGTGCATGCCCAAAATCCTGAGAGGAGAATGGAGTAGAAGGGATTGTGGCATGACCATCTCTCTGAGAGGATGATTTCTCACTTTCCTTTTTTCACTATCTCTGGTGAGTGCATGTGCCCTAGGGCAAAAATCTAAACAAACAAACAAACAAAACTTTATTATTTTGGGGACCAGCAAATGGCGTAATGGTTATGTGGCTGGACTCCCATGTAGTTGACTGTGGTTCGAGTCCCAGATCTGGAGGCTTCAAACTCATACTGGGTACATGTGGATGGGTGCCCAAGATCCGGAGAGAACAGAGGAGAAGGGATTGCGGTGTGGCCACTGCCCCTGGGGGGTGAGTTCTCGCTTTCTGTCTCTCTGTTTCTCCAGTGAGTGCACTTGCCTTATAGCAAAAATCTTTCTCTAAACCCCCCCCCCAAAATAACAAAAAAAACCCTATCTTTCTTCTTTCATTAGCAACCTTAGAAAAAGATATTCACAACAGGACTGAGCAAAGGCAGAGAACCAAAAACAGCTGTTTTTTCCTTAACTCCTCAGGCTGGGGAATTTAAACCAAGCTAGAATCATTCCAGCTCTGGCTAAAACCTAATCTCCACATCCTGCCCTGTCCCACAGGTGGAAACTGCTTTGCAGTCATACGCAAATGCCATGAAAATAAATAATGTGATTGAATGTATAAAAGAAAATGAAATAAAAAAATGCAAAAAGAATATGGTAGCAAAAATAACTAACTGTATTCTATTAATTGATATTTTTGTTCAATGATTATTAGCATCACCGAATTTCTGAGAAAATGTGAATTATATGTGAATAAAATGGTTTCATGTTTTTTCACTCTGAAGTCAAAACTTCCTTGGGTCTGGGGAACCAGCAGTTAGTGTAATGGCTATGTCGCTGGACTCCCACGTAGTCGACTGCGGTTCGCGTCCCGGACCCGGTGGCTTAAAACTCACGCTGGGCGTGTGTGCGTGTGTGCCCAAGATCCCAAGAGGAGAATAGAGGAGAAGGGACTGCGGCGTGACCAGCCCCCCTGGGGGGTGATTTCTCGCTTTCTGTCTCTATGTGTCTCTCTGTCTGTCTGGCGAGCACATGCGCCCTATAGCGAAAAAATCTCTCCAAAACAAACAAACAAACAAACAAACAAAAACTTCCTTGGGTCAGCAAGTGGCATGGAAATTAAGGCAGCTGGGTCCCACAGTGGCCAACCACACAGTTTGATTCCCAGACAAGGCAGCTTGCCTGAGCCCAAAATCCTGAGAGGAGAATGGAGGGGAAGGGACTGCAGGGGGGTGTTTCCTCATTCCCTCCCACCCTGTCTTTCTCTAGCGCGTGTACACAACCTATAGGAAAACCTAAACAGCCTTCCCGGGGGACCATTTGCTAGATGATCACAGACCGTCACAGATCCAGGTACTTCAAGAAATACCAAACTAGAAAGTACAGTAAAAACAAAATATCTCCTTTTTCTGTTCCTCAACAATTTTTTTCTAAGAATGAATTTCAATAAAAAGTTCCTTTTAAAATTTATTTGCCAGAGGGAAATAGAAGAGGGAGAGAAAAAGCACGCCCCAGTGGGGCATGGTCATGGTGCAATCCATCTGGTTGGGATTTGGGGCATGCACGCGCATACACACACACACACACACACACACACACACACATGCTGGTGTATTTTTCAAGCTGCTGGGGCCAGGATTTGAACTGCGGTTGGCCATGTGCAGCTGGCTCCCTTAACCACTAGGCTGTGGGGCTGGCCCTGGACTAGATTATTTCTAAGATCATTTTCTAACTCTCAAGACACTAAATTATGCTGTTAATATGCCCTGAGTTTACAAAATGGTCAATAACTAGAACCCAATAATTCCCTTTGGGATAGCACTCAGAGGTAATGTAGAATTTTTCAGTCAGAATAATTTCACTTTTTTACCTAATAAATATTTATAGTGTGTTTATTATGTGTCAGGCACTATTCTAGGCACTGGGGACACAGCAGTGAAAAATACAAAGCGCCTGCTTGTGGGATTACTGTACAGGAGATGGGCAATAAACAAAAATTTAAATAAAATAAGAACCAAGAAGAAAAATAAAGCAGGACAGAAGAAGAAAGTAGATGGTGAAGAACACAGAGGGAAGGGTAAAGAAGGCAGAGTGACCAGGGAAGGCTGGCTACTACGGGAGTGTGAGTCGGTATCTGGGGTGAAGTCAGGGAGGAACACAGTGGAAATCTGCAGGAAGAGCACTTCACGCCGAGGAAAGAGAAAGGACAAGGTTCCTTATGCAGAAGTGGGTTGATCCGCTCAGGAACAGTGAGAAGCCCATCAAGGCTGAAGCCGAGTAAGCAAGGAGGAAGGAGTTTGGAGATAAGATCAGAGAGCAGGTGGTGAAAAGGGTGTGGTGGGAATACAGAGACTTGGCAAGGATTTGGCTTTTATTCTGAATGAAATGGTGAACTGTCAAATGGTTTGAGCAGAGTGGTGACATGATCTGACTTAACATTTTTAAAGAATAACTCCAGCTGCTTTGTAGGGCCTGCACTACAGGACAATGAGGGTGGCAGCAGGCAGACCAATTACAAGTAATTCAAGTGAGAAATGACGGTGACCGGGCCAGGGTGACTGTAGTGGAGGTAATTTTGAATAGCAGTTAACGAGCAAAAGTAACTTCTGAGACCATCTTAGATGACAGTGACACCTTCTGGCTCAGAGAAAAATCATACAATGTTTTACAAGGACAGAAACTAGCCAATGTAAAAGCAAAGACTGAGGTTCCTACAGGGAAGATAGAAAAGGTGGCAGGATTTTTTTTTTTTTTTTTTTGGAGAGGTTTTTGCTATAGGGTGCGTGCGCTTGCCAGACAGACACAGACAGACAGAAAGTGAGAAATCGCCCCCCAAGGGGGGGATGGCCATGCCGCAATCCCTTCTCCTCCATTCTCCTCTCAGGATCTTGGGCACACACGCACATGTGTCCGGCATGAGTTTTAAGCCAACGGGTCCGGGACGCGAACCACGGTCGACTAAGTGGGAGTCCAGCGACATAGCCATTACGCTAACTGCTGGTTCCGAGGTGGCAGAATTTTGTAGCTAGGTAGCACCCAACACGTCCATGGCTGATAAACAGTATCCAAAGAATGAGAGGGTGGTCCTTCAAGGAGACTGCCCTGTTCAGCAGAGGTATCTGTGCCAGACCCAAGGGCCATCCCCCACAAGGGTGTCTGCATGTGAGATACACCTTGGGGCTCATCTTGGGAATACCCAAAGGCAAGCGGGGAGCGGTGGCTGCGCCGAGCACTGTGGGCCTGCACACACTCACTCGTAATTCACACCCTGCCTGTGACCAATCGGGAGGCTGTGCCTGAGAAACGGAACAAGAGCACCTCGCGGGACAGGGGGCAGGGGACAGGGGACAGGGGCCTGTGATTGTGTTATTTTAAGTCTCACAGCTTGGTTTTTTGATCACATGTAAGCTATTTCTCATCATTTTCAATTCAAACTTTGAGGTACTGCAGATACTTTTTTCTGGGACAGGCTATTAAAAATTCTTTCCAGTCTTGTTTGGAAATGCTCAAGAATAAATGGATATCAGTATCAATACTCATACCACAGCAAAAAGTATATAAGACTAGAGAGAATGAATACATTTCTTTAATTTTGTATATAATAGATCTCTTTTAAGGAATGGGCACATGTGAAGGAAGGATCATGAAAATGTTTGTAAAAAACTGGAATTAAAGTATGTCATTATCTGGTGCAATAATTTTAATGTTCATGTGCACTTTTTCCCTGATAGGCATTTCCATGAATTTTTTGCAGACCTGCTCGTATAAGAAAGGAAACAGATATAAATAATCCACTATATTTTACTGTACTTTCCTTCCATGTAGAGTAATTATTATAGCCAATGTTACCTTTTGCATGAGGAACTGCATGAGGAAAGCCTCGATACTAAATAATGATAAAAGGTGATTTATGGAGCTGTATTAAGACAAAAGAGAACCCAGCCTTACCGTGGTGATATACCGGGAGTGGAATTCTGGAGCATCTTTCAGGAACGTAAGGCCAGGGTGTGTATCTACCACATCCTGAAAAAGACCAAAATCAAAACTAAATCAACACACACAAATGTGAACAGAATTTTTTCCTTTATTTAGGAAAAACTGCCAGTCAAATGAACTTGCTGTTAATGCTTTGTTAGGGACCAGGTGGTGGTACAGCGGTAACACAACTGGACCTACATAGGAAAGCTTCTCGGTTCATGTTCCAGGACCTCCCTGAGCAAGCTAGGTAGGCGTGCACATGCCTGCGATCCTGGCTGTCTGAGACTGGAGGTGGACCATGGCAAGAGGACCTGTTGGGGGTCTCTTGGTCTCTCTCATGGTAGAAAAAGAAAAATGAACTTTTTTTTTGGAGAGTTTTTGTTATAGGGCGGGTGTGCGCGCCAGAAAGACAGAGAGAGACAGAGAGTGAGAAATCACCCCCCAGGGGTGATGGTCACACCACAATCCCTTCTCCTCCATTCTTCTCTCGGGATCTTGGGCATGAACACACATGTGCCCAGCGTGAGTTTAAGCCACAGGGTCTGGGTCTCGAACCGAAGTCAACTGCATGGGAGTCCAGCAACATAGCCACTGTGCCAACTGCTGGTCTCTCTTTTTTTTTTTCTGGTTTCTTTTTTTTTTGTTTTGAGAGGTTTTTGCTATAGGGCATGTGTGCTCGCCAGAAAGACAGAGACAGACAGACAGAAAGCGAGAAATCAAATCACCCCCCGGGGTGATGGCCATGCTGCAATCTCTTCTTCAAGGATCTTGGGCACGCACGCACATGAACCTGGTGTGAGTTTAAGCCACTGGGTCCGGGACTCGAACCGTGGTCAACTACATGGAGTCCAGTGACATAGCCATTATGTTAACTGCTGGTCCCTCTCTCCTTTTTTAAAGTTTGCTATGGGTATGTGTGCTTGTCTGACAAAGACTAAGGGTGTGTGTGTGGGGAGAGAGAGAGAGAGACCACCCCTCTGAGGGGATAGCCATGCTGCAACCCCTTCTCTATTCTCTCAGGATTTGGGGCACAGACACACACACAGCCTGTGTAATTTTCAAGCCACCAGGTCCAGGACTTGAACTGTAAAGTCAGCCATGTGGGACCCAGCTGCCTTAATCTCCGTGCCACCTGCTGGCCTAAGAAGCTTTAAAATTTTTTAAATTAATACTTTATTACATCCAAATTTTATTATAAGCATGCTTATGTGTACTTTTCTGTATGCATAATATAAACTTCTATAGAAAGTTAAAATTTTATATTTGGTGATTTGTGAGTCAAATGTCTTAGAGGTACGTATTCAGAAGTAATGAATACAAAGGTAAGTAATTCTAACATATCGAGGTATGATAGGGAAATTTATCTGACAGATCTTAATAAGGGTTGCTGAGTGACATTTACACAGAAAGGATGACAGATACAATCTAATGAGAACGATTCTTTCTTAGCCTAGAGACAAGGGAAATTTGGGGGAAAAAAATAAGCCATGTTGCCTGCGTTAAGTTGTGTGAGCAGCTAATACCCAGCAGTTTTCATAAAAATAATTGTGTAAACACATTGCTTTTAATTTAGGATTTTATTTATTTTTAAACATGGAGTTATGTTCCCATTGAAGAAAACTGAATGAGCCTATAAAACCTGTGAAGAGACCAGTTCTATTAACTGAATAGCCAGGGCAAGAGCAATGCTAGCAGATTTGGATAGGTACCACTTGTATCTCTTTGTTTCTTCAGAACAATTAGCTGTATATACCTAGTAATATGGTCTATTATCTTACTGTTTTTGCTTGTTTTTTTGAGAGAGACTTTTTGCTATAGGGCGCCTGTGCTCACCAGAAAAAATCACCCCCCAGGAGGGATGGCCATGGTGCAATCCCTTCTCTCAAGATTCTGGGCATGCATGCACACATGCCTGGTATGAGTTTCAAGCAATGAGGTCCAGGACTTGAACTGTGGTCAACCACATGGGAGTCCAATGTCTTAACCACTATGCTGCCGGCCGGTCCCTTTTCTTTCTTCTTTCCTTTCCCTCCTTTGTTCCTTTTTCCCTCTTGCTCTCCTCCCCTCTCCCTCCCTCCCTTCCCCTCTTGTTTATCCCTTTCTTTTCTTTTTCCTTTCCTTTCCCTTCCCCTCCCTCCCTTCTCTTTCTCTTTCTTTAGTGGCTAGAGGACATGTGTGCTTGCCAGAGGAGAAAAGCAACTCCCATGGGGAACGCTCAAACCACAATCCCTTCTCTACTGCTCCTCCTTTTGGGATTTTGGGCAGGCATGCATGTGTCCTGTATGCTTTTCAAACCAGTGGGTCTGGGCCTTCTGTAACACAATGGTCACGTGGGATCTGGCTGCCTTAACCACCAGGCCAGGAGGCCAGCCCTCTTTAATATTTTGAGGATAAGTTTAGACTTACAGTTATAAAAAATACTGTGGAGAAATCTCCTATACCCCTCTCCCAGCTCCCTGTCATGGTAGGAAAGACCTAGAGATCTCACTCAGCTTTTACTGACTCCTGTGCCTGGACCCTAGCTGAACTTACTGGTCTTTTCCAATCTGTGACAGTTCCTACATCTTTATCTTTCATGATTTGATGTTTTTTAATGAGTTCTGGTGAGTTTTTCTGCAGACTGTCTCTCCATCTGGATTTGCCTGAAATTCTGTCATTAGATGACGGTCACATATTTTTGGCAGGAATACCACAAACGTGATACTGTGCCCTTTTCAGTGCACCACAGTGTACCAGACGGGGAGCATACAATGCTGATATGTCTTATTTCTGGTGATACTAACCTTGGCTGCACTTGGTTCAAGTGGCATTTGCTGCATTCTTCACCAGAAATGTTATCATTTTCCCTTAATAGGGATAACTGCTCTGGGGGAGACACTTAGAAACAATGGCAAGATCCTATTTCTCAACATCCCTCCAACCCCAATTTTCAGCATCCATTGGTGGATTGTGCCTACAACACAGGCAAATTACACCGCAGTGTTTACCTAACGGTAACTGTATTTCTATCATTCCTTCTACATTTACGAATTAGAATTTTTCCACAAAGAAAAGCTGCCCCTTGCTCCTATGTATTTGTACTGGTACAGATTCATGAGTGTTTATTTTAGGCTACTGATTACACTCCTGTAATATTGTTTATTTTGTTGCTCACATTGACCTAGCTTTGGCCACTGGGAGCTCCGTCAGGCTGGCTCCTGTGCCCTCTTCACATGCCCCCATCCCTTTGGAAGCACTTCCATATTTTCCGGTATCACAAGATGGTCCAGGTTCATCTTGTATTTTCCTTGCCCCAGCTCTGGTATCAACCCTTTCTGCAAGAAGCTCTGGTTCCATTTATGGAGAAAATGGAATTCAGAAGTGAGCTCTAGGTGCTGTGTTCTTGTTACTACTAGTGTGTCTCTGCTCCCAAGCCCTCTTAACAGGCACAACTACAAAAGATGTATACACGTAGTAATCCACACACACACACCACCGCGACGTATTCTGTGTACATACATATGGATGACTCTGATTCCAATCCACACAAGGTTCAGCCTAGCCTGCCTCCTTTTCTTTGGAACTTCTTTTTCTGACACTGAGAAACCAGGTTCTCAGTATCTACACTGTACTCCCCTACTTGTTCAATCTTAGTGTACTATATGAACTGCTAACCCATAGACCAGTGAGGAACAAATCTACTAGAATACAGTATTTGTGTGCAGTTCCTTTTGTCTGTAGCTTTTCAAAATCCAGTTAAAGGTAGTTAATTTCATTTGTTATTGTTTGTTGTTTCGGGTTTCATTTCCACATGTCTTAGTAAATTTTTTTTTTTAAAAAGAGACTTTTGCTATAGGGTGCATGTACTGGTTGGAGAGACAGAGACAGACAGAAAGCGAGAAATCACCTCCACCAAGGGGGATGGCATGCCACAATCCCTTCTCTTCCATCCTCTCTTGGAATTTTGGGCATGCACATACACAAACTTGGTTTGAGTTTTAAGCCACCAGGTCCGGTACTCGAAACAAAACACGGTCAACTACATGGGAGACCAGCAATGTAACCATTATGCCATCTGCTGGTCCCATGTCTTGGTAAATTTTAATTAATAATTTTTGGGAAGGAAAATACAATTGTGAGTTACTTAATGACAGAGATACATTCTAAGAAATGTACCCTTAAGTGAGTTCATCACCGAGTCATCACAAGAGTATTTACGTAAGCCTAGAGGGCATAGCCTGCTACACACTGAGGCTCCAGACCTGTACAGCATGCTACTCTACTGAATACTGTAGGCACTGGTAACACCTAAGTATCTGTGTATCTAAACATCTTCCAACAGGACAGGGATATTAAATCTATCATACAAAATATAAAAAGTGGCACACCTAATGGCACATGGTAAGTGCAGGGCACTTAGAATGAATGGAATTTGCAGAACTGGAAGTTGCTCTGGGTGTGAGTGGATGGTAAGTGAATGTGAGGGTCTAGGATATTACTGTATGCTCCTGTAGACTTTATAAACATTGTGTACTTATGCTACACTAAATCTCACATTTTTTCTTTGATAACAAATTAATCTTAGCTTACTTTACTTTTAAGCTTTTTGAACTTTTAAAAACCTTTTTGACTTTTCTGTAGTAGCACTTAGCTTAAAATATCAACATGCTGGACAGCTGCACAAATCTGTTTTATATCCAATTCTATAAGCTTTTTTTCTATTTAAAAATATGCTTTTCCTTTTAAACTTGTTAAAAACTAAGATACAAACACACATGGGCCTAGGCCTAGAGTGTCAGGATCATCATTATCACTATCTTCCACTTCCACATCTTGCCCTACTGGAAGGTCTTCAGGGTCAATAACATGCACAGAGCCGCCTTCTTCTTCTTTTTTTTTTTTTTTTAAAGAATTTATTTTATTTATTCATTTTTTTTAAAAAAATTTGACCAGAGGGAGACAGAGAGAGACAGAAAGTGAGAAAGCAAGTCACCAGGTCCAGGACTTGAACCGTGGTCAGCCATGTGGGAGTGTCCAGCACCTTAACCACCACACCACCTTGCACA